TATATATATATATATATATATATATATATATATATATATATATATATATATATATATATATATATATACATATATATATATATATATATTATTTTTTTTTCTTTGCTTAACTCCTGGTTTTGTTTCGTCTTCTCTGGTTCTCTTACGACAAATTAAGTTTTATTGCAGGGTTGAGACGACATGTCTCCATGCAGGTGGTATAGATCTTCAGTTTCTCCCACTCTACAGAAACTGTGCCTACAGGAACAAAGGAGTGAGCTGAAAGGAGAGCGTGGCGTGAGAAAGGTGAACGGTGGAATCAAAGTGAGGCGACTCATAAAGGAGAGGGAGGAGGAAGTGGGGATACATGCCAGTATTTATTAGTTTAATCAGGAAACAGGGCAACAGGAAGTGGAGCGACAGCCACTGTCATCAGTAATAACAGTGGCTGTGATGGGTTTGTCATGACAACAGAGAAAAACATCAAAAGTAATGTGCAGACATAGAATACTGACTAGAGACAGTGGAACAAAGTGATGTCAGGGTGTCACATTTAAAGTGGCAGAAACATACAACCTAATGAAATCACTCATGTTTTAACACATTTGCTACTGATTTTATTTGCACCAAAAACACACCAATAATATTAACTTCATGTTCAACTGAGGCCCTGAACTGCGGAGCTCATGTTTAAGGCGAATATTTCCTGATGAGAAGCTCTGTGTCTTTAACTTTTGTTGTTTTATGTTTTTAGGAAATGATCACTAGATGACACTAATGTTAACTGTGTCAGTTGTCTTATAATTTGTGAAGATATTCAAGAAAAGAGAACATTCTATTTTTGTCGTTTGATTGTTTTCAACTTGGTGAATAGGGCAGCTTGCAAAAATCTGTAGCAAATGTAAAAAACATTCATGTTTTAATAGACGTTCCATGTAAACTAACATTTTCGAGATCAAAGCATTGGATTCAAACAGTTTAGCAGTTATTTTTTTTCTTTTGTTAGGTGAAGAAGTTTTATTTATTCTTTTGAAGCTAATACTTTCTTCTGCATGCTACAACTTTACACAAACAGAAATTTAACCAGCAGAAGAAACGACCATATTTATTCAGATTAGTTAGTGTTGGACGAAACGTGGCGATCATTTCTTAGCTTGACTTTGTTTTTCTTTTTCTCAGAGAAACTGCTTTAAGTTTCAAGTTCAGATGCAGCACCTTTCAAGTTTCATTTAGACACCGAACGTCAAACACATCCTCCGGCTCTTTTCTTTTTTCCCTTCCAGTGAACTCCATTTACAGGTATTTACGATAAGACTTGGACCACTTTTACTATTTCTTGCCCGACTCCGGGATGAACACACTTACGGTGAAGTCGCCGCTCTCTGTGCCGAACTTGTTCTTCACCAGGATGCTGTACTTGCCGGAGTCCGACGTGTTCACGCCGGTGATGGTGAAGCTGGCGAACTTGCCCGACTCGAACTTCAGGATGCAGTGCTCGTCGGAGGTGATCTCCCTGTCGTTCTTCAGCCAGGTGACCTCTGGCACGGGGTTGCCCGAAATGTTGCAGGTGAGATTGAGAGCCTGAGGTAGAAAAATGTACAAATGTACAAAAAAAAAAGCGCCTCGTTTAGTCCTGCATAGAAGAGACGGAGACAAGGCCACTGTAAAGTCAACACTGTTTCTTTACCTTGCCCTCCTGTATGGTCACCACGTCAGGCAGGCCTCCTGCCACTCGAGCACGATCTTAGCATAAGGAAAAGTTTAATTTAATTTAAGACGCATGATTTTTACCTCTTAAAGTGTCTCATTTATCTCATTGTCTCAAAATGAATGAAGTAAATGTGGCTTGTGCCATTATCTCACAACAAAGAGCTATGATGCTCATTTTAGGGCTTCAACTGTGACTTTAATAAGGAGCTAATACTTACTTCTCTCTGCAGTTGCTGCAGCTCTGAGGACACAAAGAAGAAAGCAACAAATTAAACAAGAATCAAAGCCATAATTTGAATCAAACTCACTGTGGTTTTGTGTAAAGCTTTATATTTGCTCACCACACTATTTACTAAAAACACTGCATGTGATATGTTAGAAATATTTTAATGTGGCAGTTAACAAATTAATAAGTGCTTTCTAACAAGAAAATGAGAGAAGATGGAGACATTCATCTGAGCTGAAGACAATGTGTTTCTTTTGTTGTTTTTTTTGTTTGTTTTTTAGCTGCTGGATCAGATATGGTCTGTTAAAGATGCAAGAAAAAAAAAGCTCCTGGTGGTATTTTTTCTCTCTCTAACTTTACGGGAATGGCTCCATACTCTACGGATGTTAAAATGTGTACCTAATAAAATGGCCACTTACTTGAGTCTCTGAAATTCTGCAAAAGCATCATCAAATGCTAAAAGAAAAAAACAACACTTCATTAATCTGCTCTGTACACGTCTGCTAAGAGACATTCACAAATCAAAACTGAGCACAGCTCAGGTCTAGTCAAAGTTCTTGAGAATCACCTTGGCCAGAGAGTTCCACTGTTCTCCTGAGACCGCCCTTGCCATCGTAAAACTCTATGGCGTATTTGCCCATGTCTTTCTCTGTGGGCTCTGTGATCTGAAGCCACAGCTGTTCTCCAACCACACCGCTTTTTATACGGTCGGAGAAGGAGATCGCCGAGTCCCTGTTAGGAAAACGAAAGGCAAAACGCGTGCAAACACAGGCCGCTTTGAGAAATGAAAACAAGCAAGAGCATGCACACATAGCTCCCTCCATGTGCGTTAATGATATGTATCTGCTGGTTAACAATAAAAAGAAGAGCAGCATGTTCCCTTAAACTGACTTGTAGTGCCATGTGACTTGGAGCAAGTCGTTGTAGGTGCTGACAAACGTGTAGAGTCGAATTCCCTCGTCTGTGCTCGTGATCTTCAGTGGAGTGGAGGAATTAGCTAAACGCAGAGACAACAAAACGTTTTTTTTTTTTTAACAGTTACGTTTTAAGAAATTATCATTAGGATGCAGAAAACATGTTTCTCCTCACCAATAAAGCTGAAAACTTCATTCATCAATTCTTTGAAACCTGAAAAAGAGCAAAAATGGTGATGCAAAGTGCACCGCAAGCTGTTTTTACAGACTGACTCTGGAAATGTTACCTTGATCTGTCAGATTCAGTGTGGATGTGTCCTTTCCTCTCTCATCCTTTAGAACAACCTCATACACACCAGCGTCCTTTCTGGAAATCTGGCAAAACAGGAAAGTAAAATTTATGCAGATGCATGTCTAATGGAATGAAGACCCTTGAATTTGTAACCATCGGAAAACGTCTTAACTATTCACATTGTAGGTATTTGCAGACGATAGTGAACCGTAACCTCCACAAATACCAGCTGTCTGCCATAGTGTGTTTTCTGGGCTGAAGTGTGTTTAATTTACACTGTGCAACTGCTGAAATCAACGATCATGTCTCTTTTTTTCATATTCCATATTTGATGATGGTCTGACCATCTTGGGCTGACAGTTTAAAACTCTCTACCGTCAATGCATGCTCCCAGTTGGCTAAATCTTTATAGCTGCAGACAGAGCTTCTGCTTAAGGTAGTGTAGTATCTGAAAACAGTTATATCCCAGCAAGACATTATATCACACGTTACTAAGGAGTCTTCCTTTTTTTTCTCACCTGGGCAATTTCCAGTTTGAGAACTCCCTCTGTGAAGCCGAGATGCTCGTCGGCTTTGATCTGATGCCCGTCTTTGTGCCACAGAGCCGAGGTCTCCTTCTTTATGTTGCCGACCTGGGATGTAGCCAAGCGGAGGGGTATTTTTAGACCTGAAGTATTGAAAAACGTTTGCGTGGAGGGGAACGTGTTTCTCTAAATCTAAGACTCGCCTTGCACTTGAGTATCACGCAGCAATCTGGCGTTACCTCCCAACTCAAGCCTTCAATAAAATGAGGACCTGAGACATAAAAGCAAATGTTTTTACTGACTGTCAGTTAACAACAAGGTTCTGATTTATTCTGAATCTAAGCTGATTTTCTGACTTATTTGACAAAGAAACTGGAGATTACGCAAACAAAGAAGTAGTAATTCTTGTTATGTATGTTTACATTACCTTGCTTTCTGAACCATTCCTTTCTCTGGAACTCTGATTCTTTCTGCAGCTGCTTGAACACTTAAAGCGAAAAGAGTAAACAGTGGTCAGAGACTTCAGCTCAAAATATAGATGAATAGTTTTATTCCAATAACATAATCTGGTAAATATGTTGGGGGTAAATAAGAAATGGGAATATAAGTTTTGAATTAGAGGCTAGAGGCTAAACTCCCTTTCGCAAAGCTCATCTATGTGTGATGCTCTGTGTGTGTTCAGTATTCATTAATTTGACAGATCTTTTTCTGCCCTCTAGTGTTGAAATGCTCCCAAAGCATGCTTCACATTTACATTGACGTTAATCTGTGTAAATGTAGAAGGAAAGATGCTACATAAAAAAGTATTTTACACCAGTTACAGACAAAGTGTAATGGCAGCACTTTGCACAACTGTTTTTTTTCCCAAAAATGTGTATTTCCCTATAACATTTCATGCGGTTGTCGCAAACAAAGAAAGGAGTCTTTCCGCTTGTAGCGCAATCAAATGTAAAAAATGTTTTCCATTTTCCTTAACATACCATCACCTATCAGCACCAAGCTGGACTGATTTGTTGCTTTTCCGTCATTCAGCTGGAAAGTGTAAGTCCCTTCATCTTGAGGAGTCAGGGACTCCATGAACATCTCAATCACACCGGTGTTCTTGTCAAAGTTCATTTTGTATTTCTGTAAAAAAAAAAAAAAAAAAAAGCAATGTGTTTTTTTCCCTATTACAAATGTTAACTTTTCATGAAAAAAGAATTGCACATCTCACTGACATCTCCCTGGGAGAGAACGTTGTCGTTGAAAACGTAATCCACTTTGCCGTTCGCTGACATTTGCGCCGCCTGCAGCCAGAAGCGCACTCTGCCCTTCTCCTGTAGCTCGACTGCCAGATCTGACTTCAGTGGAATAACTGGTGTAAAGAGAAAACGCAGAGTCATCTTACAAGAAATGAACGGAAACAAAGAAAAAGTCCCATCTCAGAGAAATTTTGAAGCGCTTACTCGGGAATTTGTGGTCGTGACTGACCTCCAGCAGCCTCTTTAGCTCTGCGGAACAACAAAAGATCGTGATTGAAACTGGGGCCTGACCTGTTCTTTTGTTGTTTTGTTAAGAGACAAAGTTTCCACCTTCTTCGGAGAGAGTGTAGCTGGATGAAGCGCCATCAGTATGGGTGACAAGACATGAGTAAACGCCAATGTCCTCCTCCCCAGGACTGTTGAAAACGGTTTTGGATCTGAACACAAAGTGAACACAAAGCTTCTGTTGGGATTTATGCAATCTTAAGTTGAATGTACAATGACAGCAACATGCAACATTCTGTCCCCTAAGACAATGAAAAAGTTAACAACACCAAATTCCTAAATAACACATATCCTCAGGCGGCGAGAGTCCTCAACTCCCGTAAACTTTTATTTCCTGCTCTGTTTAACAAGCTTGGTCTGCACCATTTATTTGCTGTTAAACCTGATATCTGCACTTAGTCACACCAAACCAAATTACAGGAGAAGCTTATCAAATTAGCAACAAGGACTTTCCCTTGGAAAAAAAAAATATGGAAATTTCTCTCAGCCACTCTTCAACCTGGGAAGGACAAGATGAAATATCATCCTAATATTGCAGATGTGTTAGGAAACATGAATAAACTTGACCATATCCATAAGTCAGAGCAACAAAGTTGAACAAAGTTGAAACGGGGACACACACTGGGGCATCAACCACACACAGTGAGCAGGAAGGGAGGGGAAAACCCTCCAAAGCTTTCTGTTGGAGAGAACTGCAGCAAAAGTGGTCGCCAAGTCTCCGTGACAACCACTGGACTGAATCCACATGCCAACAAAGTGATGCCGTTTAAACAGTTTTTCTGTGCTACCAGCACAAATGTAAACATAAGGAACTTATAAAACACTACTGGAATATTTGTTTTATTTCAGATGAGATAAAGATTGAGCTTCACAGCAACAAACACTCCAGTTGAGCAACGAATGTTCACTGTCAGCATGGTGGAAGATTCATAATGCTGCGGGCCAGTTTCTAATTCCAAATACCTGGTGACCTTGTTTGACGGCATGGTATTATGAACTCTTTGAAATATTAGGATGCTTCATATAAATAAAATAGTTCTCTCTGCCAGAAAGCTGAAAATAGATGCACAATGATCCAAATCATATGGCCGAATAACAACCCTGTGAGTCACCAGACACAAGAGGTACCAATAAATGAGGAGGGTTCCATATCCTTTCTAGTCTGAATGTAATAAGACAGTTTGAGTCATCTCACTTGTTTCCCTTGGTCTCTATGGTCAGGCGACTGGAGTCTCTGAATTCTTCATAATCCTTGGACCACATAAATTTGGAGTCGGGCGTCAAGTTAGAGCATTCAAAGTTCAGGGAGATGACACCATTGTCATCGACTTCCACGACTATCTCCTTAGTGCCTGAAAGCCAAACAGATGATGACCAGTTCAGGACATTCACATTACCAGCATACCCTCATGACATCTGCCCCTTTATCGCCGTTTACCTACCCGGTTTGGTCAGAGCTACGACTGGCTCTGTAACATCTGAGGTTTTGCCCACACCGGCTTTATTCTGAGCACGCACTCTCAGCACATACGTCTGTCCTTCCTTAAGATCCTTAACCTGCAAAGTTCAGAGACAGCTCCCAGATAAGACCGCTTGTATAGTCCTGTTTCAGGAGAAAATGCTCCAAACGGACTCCATGTAATGACCTTGAGGTACGTTTTCTCTGCAGCCTTGGTGTTGACGCCCCTCCAGGCTTCCTCCGGTGCATCTCCTTCCTTGATGTCAACGTAGAAACCATTGACCGGATCGCGGCCCTGGTACACGGGAGGTTTCCACAGCAACACCAGGGAGTCGCTGCGCACCTCCAAAACCTGCAGATCGTGAGGAGGTCCTGTAGGAAAATATGCAAAAGTCTTAGAAAATGAGAAGCTTGGCTTCAGTTGTTAACTGATTTAGTCTAGAAAGGATTATTCATGACTTGTTGGTACAAGTAGTAAAAATAATTTGCAATCTTGAATTGACAACAAATTAGTTGGTTAAATTAATCATATTGCGACAAATTCACTTCTCAGATGTTTACATTTGATATATATATATATATATA